GGTTCAAGGGTATGAGGTTGGTACACTTCCATTGGACTGTTGTAGCAAAAGAATAAAGAAAACAGTCAAGATTAAGACTGACACAATTAATCGCGATTAATCGATTATTGAAATAATCCTAAATTAACTAAGTAATTGATTAATTGTTAAATGGAGTTTAGGGACTCTAAAACATACCTTTTGTTTATAGAGTGACCTACTTAGAGTAGTAATTTTAACACAATTTTGCATCTAAGATGAAAAAAACTGATTAATCAATAAAAACAAACATTATAGCCCTAGTTAAGATAATAAAAAAATGAAAATAAAAACAGTTCTTTAAAATCTAATATTAGCTGTTAAATTAATTATTACGTGTAACGCTGTTATGTTGAATTTCATTGCGTCTGGATTAACATAACGTCGGATTCTGAATGAAAGCAAAGCTACAACCCTCCCAGGCCTCCAGTTCCCACTAAGTTTTGATTAGAAGTTTTATGAACAGATCAGAAGCCAGATTTTATAACCATTTTGTGTTTCGAGCTTTGAATGAAATTAATCTAGATTAAAAAAATGCTCATTATGTTAAATGTGTATTTAATCAACAATATCAGCTGAATCATGATTACAAAATTGTAAAAGTCTAATTGATTAAATAAAAATTTTCACTTGCCCATTACTACTGCCAAAGTATCCTAAAAATGTAAGAACCATAATTTAAAGGCAATAGAAAAAAAAATCTTGATGCTATTTGCTATTGAAGACATGCCTTTTAAGATTGACTGGAGGCAGTACGTGTCTACAGTATGTGTCTTCCAGCTTCGGTGTGCATGTGTCCTAATTACACTTGTCTTACGAGGGTGATAGTTCAGTCCTTCATGGCTGAAGTCATCAAATGGAGCAAATATAACCTTGGGGCAGCTTACAGAAACTGAGTAGAAACACACAGTCCCATTTAAACAATAACAATACATGCATGTACATCAATGCATATGGATAAATTTAAAAGCAAGCTTTGGTCAGATATACACACATGTACTTCCTGTACAGATCTAAGATGCTGTCGCCCTAACAGACTTAAAATGTTATATGCAAACGCCTTTTTTTTTTTACTCATGCCTCTGAGAGGAAGCCCAGCAGAATGTCAATGAGGCGAAACAGGAGGTGTCGACCTGCGTGGCGACTTTGTGTTACAGCCACATGTTACGGGTAAAGCAGCTCTACTTTTTATCATGGCTGCTTCAATCCCTGTTTAACTGGGAAACATAATCTTTTTAAAGCTTTCTGTCTTTACATCTAGTTTTGTGGATGGTTTAAGTCAAGTTCATATGGAAAAACCATGTTTAAAATTGCACCTTTGTAAGGTTAACGTTTACAAAACTATAAACTCTTCTATGCCACGGTGGTATTTCTTTGCATTTTATTTACTTCTTGAAATTCAGCATTCCTAAATTAAGATTCAATGTATAACTGATGTGTTGTAAATCTTAAATACTGGAATCTCAATGTCTAGATCCTGCAAAATTGTATGTGACTTTTGTGTTTTCTTTTCTTTGCACTTTGATAAGAAGATCAGATATTTGTTTCTCTTTATAATAAAAGTAGCACTTTAAAATAGCTTGTCATTTCAACATGTGGAACATATATGGAAAGAAACAGAAACAAAAATAAATCAAATATAACATTAACTCCCAAGATCGAGAGTAGCAGCCATCTGTTGTTCAATTAGGAGCAGTAGTTCTCATTTATATGACAATCCCTGAAATCTCATGTGTTGATGAGCAAGGGACTTAACATTGTGTATCCCAATATGCATATTAAGACTAAAAATGTGTGTTGTTTGTAAGTGCACTTTTGTGTTAAATGCATTTTATACGTGAGGTAAAACACACTTTACTGGTCTTCCTAACCACAAATATGCAACCACCCTCTGTTCTGATGTGTTTGGGCTGACTGACTGGATTCTTGCACGCATCATGCTCGGCATCAATCAACTTTATCTCATGCACCTGCAAGCTGCTCGCAGTGGCAACTAAATCAAGCTCATTCCCTGCACCTGTTCTGCTGCCCATATATACCAGACTCCCACAGCCAGTCATCGGCTCTCTGATTCTGGATTGTGATTTATACTATGATTCTTGCTCTGCCCTGTTCAGCCATCCTCCAGTCTATCTGGCCCATCATCTCCTGCTATGTGCAGTCTGGATGTTTTGCATTCTTCTCCTCTCTGGACATATCCTGCATGCAACAAGATTTTGTTCATTTCTTTAACATTTTAAAACTGCAACATAATATATAAACTGCATGTAACAAGAAAAGCATTTAAATACTTATGGCATCCTTTCTAATAAATCTGTTCTGCAAAAAAGAAAAAAACATTTCTCTGATTTAACAGAGACCTGGGATGAAAGGACCTCTGATGCAGTCAGACCCATCAGAATTACTCTGACACAGACAACATGGAGTAATGAATCCCATCAACACAAGTGAAGGATAAAATGTAATTGACTTTAGTCCTTGGACAGTGTGTACTTACTATTCAGCCCTACTGTAACTTCAGTAGTGCTTGCAGATCTAAAGGTTCATGTAAAACCTATAAACTTTTATACAGTGATTTACAATTTATCCAGTCCCTTTAAAGCATCTTTTTTGCTGATCTTCTCTTTAAAAACATACAGTAAATTCTCATTCACAATACTAAGGCCCTGATCTTTTAAAGATTAGCATGTGTACAAAGTGAATAGCAAAGCTGACCTACTAACCAAATGCACACAGAGTTTGTGTCTCTAAAATGAGCAGAACAGGACTGAAGACATTTAATGCATTTGAAGAGAAATATTCCATAGAATATTCAATGTGCATGTTAACATATTCGGATTTCACCGATCAAATAGATTTTTTGGGGGAAAACCTATGTGGAGAAACCTGCGCCATTTGAATTAATCAGAATCTGTCCAAATTTGAAATTAAATGTGTTGAATTAAAATTGAATTTCACTAAATTAAAACTATTAAATAATGTGAAACTGAAAAAAACTTTATTTACTGATGTTATATTAAATGTCTTTGTTTTTGGGTGGGGCGGCTGGGCTGATGACAATACACCCAGTCAGTGTTAGCCCAGCAAACAACCTCCACCCCAAGCTCTCCATGCCGCATCTCGCCCCCCTACCACATCGCATGTCGCGGCAGCAAGGCAACAGCCCAGCATGACACGACCCCGAGCAGACGCCACCAAGCCACACTACGTGACCCAAAACTAGGTCAAGATTAACCCCGCAAAGTATCTCCGGCAAGAGGCCCGCACCACAAGTCAACACCCACCGCCATGTCCCTTAAGTCATACAAACAAAACCTTTTCACCATCACTGCAACTCTGTATTGGTTATAGACATTTTCTTACATTTGGTACATTCCAACGCGCCGTTGCTGTTAGCAGTGTCTCCACTAGTATTTTTTTCTGGTGAGCCAGTATTCATTTTACAGATGGAGGGGCTGTGGGGGTGTAATGTTGCCTTGCAGTTTTCTATAAGTGACTTTTGAACATACAAGTCTACTCTTTGTAAATGAAAATAATAATACTACTAAATACTAATACTACTAAAAAAAGTAGTAAACATGAAACTGTCTGTGTTAATCAGTGCTAAAATTCCTACTTATATTATGTTATAAACAGCCTCTCTCTGAGTGTCACAGTCCTATGGCTGCTGTTCACAAAGTTATTGTTCCAAGAATGCACAATCTACAGCTGATACTATCCTGCCTTTCGTATTATTCAAGTTATGATTAGGAATGACGATCATTGCTAAGAGGATATCAAATTAACGAAATTAATGTCTTTTTTTTGTTGCTAATATTGAGTTTTTTTAACTTGCTAAAATCCTGTTAGCAAACCAATTATTTTTTCCTTCCTTTTTATAAACTTTACACTTGAAGATAATTTTATTTAAAGATAAAACATGTATAAAAAATGTGCATTTTGAAAATGCATACATACATATAAAAAAAAAAAAAAAAAAAAAAAAAAACTGTTTTCTCACCCCTCGTGGGGTGGTATGTGTCATCCTCAAGCTCGGGTCCACTACCAGAGGCCTGGGAGTTTGAGGGTTCTGCGCAGTATCTTAGCTGTTCCTAGGACTGCGCTCTTCTGGACAGAGACCTCTGATGTTTTACCTGGAATCTGCTGTAGCCACTCTCCCAGTTTGGGGGTCACAGCCCCCAGTGCTCCAATTACCACTGGCACCACTGCTGCTCTCACTTTCCACATCTTTTCTAGCTCCTCCTTCAGTCCTTGGTATTTCTCAAGCTTCTCGTGTTCTTTCTTCTTGATGTTGCTGTCGCTTGGGATTGCCACATCTATCACTACTGCCTTCTTCTGCTGTTTGTCCATCAACACGATGTCTGGTTGGTTAGCCATCACCTGTATATATATATATATATATATATATATATATATATATATATATGTATGTACTTTCTGGGTTTTGTTGCGTCTAGAGAGTTGATGTGACGTTTCTTACTGACTCTGTTCTCATAAATTAAAAGAATGACCTTGAATGTTTACAACAGTTGGAATGATCCAGATGCCCCCGGCTATTCTGCCATGTTTTTGCCAAAAAGTTATCTGAAGGAAACAGGTCTTGATTATATTTTTCATTTCACATGAGGATGCTAAAGCCTCTTTGAGCATTGCTCCATTTCCAATGTATCTCAGCATTAGGACATCCCAGTACGTCTCCATGGCCCGAGTTCAAGCTCAGCTTAACACAGACATACACACCTTTATGTACACACTCAGTTCCACAGAAGCTGCATCACTCATAGGGCATCTGGTTTCTTGCAGTGCACAATTAAATTAGTAGCTCATATTATGATGTCTATTAAAGGTACAAATCAGGAAGCATGTTTGTATTTGTTTGACAACATATTAAGAAAATAAATGTTGTTTTATTTTCATGATAATCATAATTCAGACCAATATGGCCTATTTGTTTATTGATTAATAATAAACAGTTTCCTCACCCGTAAGGTACATTTCCTCTCCTTCTTGAAACGTCATGTGACAGCGAGCACACCTGGCACAACTCGGGTGGTAATGCCTTCCTCCGGCCTGCAGATGTAATGCAGGAGCAGGAAGGAAGAAAGAAAAGACATCAAAGAGTCACTTAGAACTGAAGGGGACAGCACAGATGAAAATAGAGTGATGATTGATAGAAGGAAACAGTGGAATTAATGAATAGAGAGAACTAGAGAGAAAAAAGGCAGATTGGTAGATAGGAGTGTTGTTTTGCATGGTCATAAGTTTCGTCAGAGAAGGTTGTATTTTCAAGGTAAATTCCTGCAGCATTAAAAGATCCTGCTCAGATGTATCTCTTGTGTACATTTGAAATAAAAAATTACTAATTTTTCACACACAGTCTGATCAACAGTTACATTTTTGGCTTGACAATTAAAGATGAATAAAGTTCAGGTGATCAAGACAAGAACAGCAACAAAAGCTCTTACCTCAAGCACCCTGCCGCTGATGTACCTGCTGCAGCCTTCACACTTGATCCCAAACTGAGTGTGGTAGTCATCCTCACAGTAAGGAATCCCATCTCTGCCAGTAATAAGGATTTGCATATCATTTCTACTCCACTGTTATTGCAATAGTCGTACTGCTCTTCATTCATTTCATAAACAGCTATTCGAACATGGTATATCACCGATACCCATTCCCACTGTGCTTATTGACTCATGCTTGGGCTAACTGTAGTAATATATGAAGAAAAGATGAAGCCACTTACTTGCTGATGTATTCCCCAGTGAGAGTACAGCCACACGTCCTACATTTGAAACAAGTGATGTGCCACTGCCTCTCCAAAGCCAGCAGAGATTGGCCCTGCTTGATCTCTTGGCTGCAGCCTGCACAGTCTGGATAGCAGGACAAGAGAGGGAGGAAGTCAAGAACTGAGGAAAGGCATAACGTCTTTAAGAACTCATTTGGTTTAATTCTTCTCCTATCTTCCTTTCCATCCCTCTCTCCTGTTGAAATACCACACTGTTTCAGACAGATGGAGTGACCAAGACTAGGCTGTGAAATGACCTGAAGCACAGGCCACATTCAGAGCATGTAGCTACAGTATGTTCCTTTAGGGATTTTAACTCTTTTTGGTCAGGTTCAATATGGCAGGGAAACTCTTATATATGTAGGAGGTGAATAGATACATCAGATGGAACTATATAATATGAAGAACCTGCTTTAATCTATAAAAAGCTAAGCAAAATATCACTGTGACATAGAATTTGCTCAGTTTTTACAAAAAGAGTGGTGGCCATTGCAATCATTTGCCACACCCATGGCCACTGCAACATACTCTATCACCTTTAATTCTAGAAGGTGGCAGCAGTGATGCTCTCTGGTGAAATGTCTTAACTAACTTCATTTTTTGTTGTTAGTATATTAACCATAAACTGAAAACAATATTACAGTTATTAATTAATCATTTACATCAATATACTAACAATAAATAAGACAAAAACAGAACTCATCTTTTCAGAATTAGGCAGAATTAGTGCTTTCTGGGGAAGACGGAAAGTTAGTATCTGCTATGACTAAGGAGTCTTATATTAAATTAGAGATAAAGAAGAACTTCTCACCTGATTCACTGTGTATATTATACAGAACCAAAATCAATATAGATTTATCAATATAAAGGGTCTAAGAAAAAATAGATTCTGTCAAATATTGTGATACTTTTTTTTTTTTTAGAAGATTATCATAATAATTAAAAATGCTGATATATTATAACATTAGATGATAATGATTCAGAATATAGAAGCAATCAAATGTAAAAAAATATATATATTTAAAGGCAAACACACGCTTCAGTATCTAATTCTATAACACTTAAACCCCCATTCGCTTGTTGGCAGGGCGCTATATTATTACAAAATGTATTAATGTTGCCTTTGATACTGTATTCAGTGTTGGGGAGTAACGGATTACATGTAACGACGTTACATAATTTAATTACAAAAAAAGAGTAACTGTAATTCGTTACAGTTACAATGAGAAAATATGTAATTCAGTTACAGTTACTTCCGAAAATATTAAGAATTACAAATTTAGTATATATTTTTTTTAAATATAAAGAAAAACCTTTGCGAAATATGTAAAGATATTTTTTATTGCTTCGTGCCCTGTATCGCCGTTTCCCGCTACGGCTCCTTGTCTCTATCATATTTGCCACTCTGATGATCCATCCTGTGCTGGTGGAGCCTCCTTGAGGAACAGCAGGCGAGCGGACGGTTCTATTTCAGCTCAAGCAGCGCATCAAAAATGACAGCCTTCCAGCACTGGAAATTTAAGGAGCATTTCATTTGCATCTGTGAAAATGGCTCAAATTTATCAAGAACTTGTCCACGTCGAAGCAATCTATGTCAAACCTGAGGAAACATTTAGAGGTAAGTGCAACTCACTGATAGACGAAGCATCTCTTCTTGTGGACATCCTGTGATTGCCTGTCAGCAGTTCCCTCTCAGCTTAGTGCTTTTTTAAGGTTCACATTCAGTTCTCAAAAATTAAATGTTGAACATGGATCAATACTCATTAAAACCTTAAAGTAATCAAAAGTTATTAGTTATATTACTTTTTAAAAGTAATCGAAAAAGTTACACTACAATTACACTTTAAACAAGGTAACTTGTAACTGTAACGGTCCGATTACATTTTTAAAGTAACTTACCCAACACTGACTGTATTGCGATATATATAGCCAATTCTTACCGCTGATAAATAAGTGTGCAGGATTATAAGCAAGGGCTTAAATAAAATCTAGTTTCTCTTTATCCATTTCTTTGGAAAATATGGATATTTTGCTCATTAAAAAAAACATTTGTTGCTTTTTGGCATTCTTACTGTATATCTATCTCAATATTTTTCTCACTTGATAAAGGTAAAATTACAAAGGAGAATAAAGCATATAAGTTAAAACAAGCAGCAGCAATTATTAGATGTGTTGTTTCCATATTTATTGACAAAAAAAATAAATCCAACAAGTTCTGTCTTTTAACCTCATTAGTGATTGGAGTAAGATTTAAATAAAGAGTATTGAACGTGAACCAAGCTGCATTTTATTATTGCTTTGTTTCATTGTTTCCCTTGGCTTACTCTTTTTTTGAGGTTTTTATAACTATTCCGCTGTTTTAATTCTTAATTTCCCCTGTTCAAAATACTCAAAGGGAATCTAGGAACAGCATAAAGCAGCGTGTGCTGTAGGTGCCCATGTGTCAGAGTGTGCATGTTTGGTTCTTACAGCTCGGTCCAAGAATCTTAACAGGCTTGTCTTTTTTCAGAGAGCGCGAGCACTGCTGACATACACACTTTTTCCCACAGAAGGTCACTCTGTCTCCAATTGGGAATGGACGCCTGAAAACACACAGTGCAAATTAAATAGATTTCAAAGCAAGCAGGAAAATAACCTCTGTGGAGCAATAATCATTCAAAATAATACATTCTGAGGTTTTATTTGCAAATACATTTCAAATGTAAAATGTATATATAATTACTAATAATTACAAAGATGGACTAACCGAATTAACAACATACGGTTGATAATACTTATATTGCTTAGGTGGGTTATCAGGAGAGGTATTGAGTAACACTTACAGGTTTTTCTCCCAATAGATGGATTTTTCTTTCAAAGAGGTTTACTTTTATCAACATAATTTTAAGAGTAAATTCAAAATGAAACATCTGTGAAAAAAACAGCATCCAAAGAGAATCTTAATATTTGTGTCATGATCTTGGCGCTGATGGTTTGGTTTTTTCCTTTGCTCCTTGCTCCCTGTCTAATTGGTTCTGCGGCTGATTATTGCCGATCCTTTTCACCTGGTTCCTCTACTATTTAAGTTGTGTGTTTGCCTCCCATCAGCGCCAGGTTATTTGTGTGTTTTGGTGAGACGTTTCCTAGCATTCTTTCGTCTGTCTGTTTTCCTGATTTTGACCAGTTTCTGCCCTGAGGATCTTGAGTTTTGCCTTGCCCCTGTCTGCTCTGTTTGTCGTATCTGATCTTGGATTCCACCGGCTTCTGAACCTGGAACTGTCTTCTGACTTCGGCCTTGGATTTCCCTTCTGGACTCTGTTGCTGCTCGGCGTCGGCTGGCGCCCGCTCCGCTTACTCTCTCTAGGAGCTCTGGGGGCGTCGCCCGCCGCATCTGTTGTCAAACCTCCCTCCGGGATTCTGATGTTCTCCGCGAATGGACTGAACTTTGAATCAGAGATCCGTCCTGCAGCAGACGAGCAGCCCCGCGCACCTGTTTGTTTATAATAAACGTTTTGAACTTTCCCACTGCCTGTCTCGCCCTGAATTCTGGGTCCAGTATTCTAAAATCATTAGGATTTGTTGTTGACTTCTTTTTATCCAGGACTGGGACATGGGGCAAAAGTGTCACCAGCGAATCCCAGACCCTTTCCTCAGACACCTCTGCAAACTCTTCTGGGGGAAGCGTCCCTCCAGTGTGTCCTGGGTCATCCCCTGGGATTCCTCTTGGTGGGACATGCCTAAACTCGCACTGAGGGAGGCGTCCAGGGGTTTATCCAAAAAAGCCGCCTCAGCTGACTCCTCTCAATGTGGAAGAGAAACGGCTCTACTCTGAGCCTCTCCCCGATAAGCGTTCCACAGCCTATCTCTTAGGGAGTACCCAGCCACTCTATGGTAAAAGCTCTGCTGCTTGTATCCTGCATCCTGTTCTTTGGTCATGCTCGAGATTTCATGACCATAGGTGAGGGTAGGAATGTAAACCGACTGGTAAATTGAGAGCTTTGCCTTTATGCTCTGCTCTCTCTGTACCACAACAGACTAGTGCAGCGTTTGCATGACAGAAGCAGCCGCACCAATCTGAATGTTAATAGTATTCTTAGAAAGCAGGAAATGTGAGGGTAACTTCCAATAGTCCAATACTGTCCACTTAAACCTTCAATATTAAATATCCTCCATAGCAGAGACAAAGATTAACCATCACACTGTTTCAGCTTCGATTGACTCTGAACACAGAAAAGATGCCCATATAGGCAGGCTGTTTCATAAAAACTGTTCAAGCCTGTTCAGATCCAGGATTTTAACTCAGGACCTACTGGCTGTAAGACAACAGTAAAGCAACACTGGTAATAACTGCTTAACATGGAAATCGGTAAACTTAGGTAAAATAAAATCAACTAATTCCATCCATCCAGCCAGCCAGCACACATACACACACCCACATACACTTAGACCTAAATGCTATTTAGAAAGACCAAGAAAAAAATGACAGTCATGGATTGGGAGAAAAGGGGAGTATTAAAGGAGCCCACACATGATCAATGAGAATGTACAAACATTGTGCATAACGACCCTAAACCCAGGAATTGAACCAATGAATTTCATGCTGCAAACCATCAATCCAGGTGCAGCAATTGTTGCATGCATGTGTTTTTTTTTCTGCCTAGAATATTCATTATATTCTATCATCATTCTGATGATGATTTAGGTGTGAAAAGGCTAAATAGTATGAGGACAAGAGACTTAATAGTTCTAGACACTTATTAGTTAAGTGAGGACATGACTTCTACATTTGTTACTACTAAACCTTTATGTAGATGTACACTATATTGCCAAAAGTATTTGCTCACCTGCCTTGACTCACATATGAGCTTAAGTGACATCCCGTTCCTAATCCATAGGGTTCAATATGACGTCGGTCCACCCTTTGCAGCTAGAACAGCTTCAACTCTTCTGGGAAGGCTGTCCACAAGGTTTAGGAGTGTGTTTATGGGAATTTTTGACCATTCTTCCAGAAGCGCATTTGTGAGGTCGCACACTGATGTTGGACGAGAAGGCCTGGCTCTCAGTCTCCGCTCTAATTCATCCCAAAGGTGTTCTATCGGGTTGAGGTCATGACTCTGTGCAGGCCAGTCAAGTTCATCCACACCAGACTCTGTCATCCATGTCTTTATGGACCTTGCTTTGTGCACTGGTGCACAGTCATGTTGGAAGAGGAAGGGGCCAGCTCCAAACTGTTCCCACAAAGTTGGGAGCATGGAATTGTCCAAAATGTCTTGGTATGCTGAAGCATTCAGAGTTCCTTTCACTGGAACTAAGGGGCCAAGCCCAGCTCCTGAAAAACAACCCCACACCATAATCCCCCCTCCACCAAACTTTACACTTGGCACAATGCAGTCAGACAAGTACCGTTCTCCTGGCAACCGCCAAACCCAGACCCGTCCATCAGATTGCCAGATGGAGAAGCGCGATTCGTCACTCCAGAGAACGCGTCTCCACTGCTCTAGAGTCCAGTGGCGGCGTGCTTTACACCACCGCATCCGACGCTTTGCATTGCACTTGGTGATGTATGGCTTGGATGCAGCTGCTCGACCATGGAAACCCATTCCATGAAGCTCTCTGCGCACTGTTCTTGAGCTAATCTGAAGGCCACATGAAGTTTGGAGGTCTGTAGTGATTGACTCTGCAGAAAGTTGGCGACCTCTTCGCACTATGCGCGTCAGCATCCGCTGACCCCGCTCCGTCAGTTTACGTGGCCTACCACTTCGTGGCTGAGTTGCTGTCGTTCCCAAACACTTCCATTTTCTTATAATACAGCTGACAGTTGACTGTGGAATATTTAGGAGCGAGGAAATTTCACGACTGGATTTGTTGCACAGGTGGCATCCTATCACAGTTCCACGCTGGAATTCACTGAGCTCCTGAGAGCGACCCATTCTTTCACAAATGTTTGTAAAAACAGTCTGCATGCCTAGGTGCTTGAATTTATACACCTGTGGCCATGGAAGTGATTGGAACACCTGATTCCAATAATTTGGATGGGTGAGCAAATACTTTTGGCAATATAGTGTATGTTTTTATTCTATCTTAGGTTATTAAGTAAAGCATGGCCATACCTGCAGACGCTGCAGACAAAACAGTGCGGGTGGTACGTCCTCCCCATTGCAGAGACCACCTCTCCAGTGATGTACTCGTCACAGCTGTCACACTGGGTCCCGTACAGGCGCTGGTAGTCCTCAGTACAGATATATTCACCAGAGTGGTGGAAGAAACCTGACCGCACCAAGTCGCAGCCACACACTGTCCAAAGAAAAGGACATTGCCTTAGTGGTTTGTTTTGTTTCCTAGAAACATTAACGAACTGAAGAAGCAATTTTTAAATGGATAAGGGCATGGAAGGTATAACATGACTGATCCAGAAGGTAGTATTAAATTTCAGCATTTATGGACAGAAACATTTATTTACATTATTTGATATAAAAACTTTAGTTTTAAGCTAAATTAAATACTACCAGTCCAATCCATCTAATCTAAAATTACAAAATAATCCTGAAGCTTTTTTTTGTACACTCTTGAGTGCCTTGATTTCTTCCTTCCAACATTTTAAGCAAAGGCTACCCACCATAGCAGCCATTATGTATAAAGCTGCATACACTTCTGTATTAATGCAGGGACTGCTGTGTAACAGTTTAAGAGGAAACTGCACACTATGTGTTTATTATGAGAGGCCAAATGAGACAATGTTAAATTTTCTCACCGCTATAATTTCAATGTCCCACACAAACACCATGAAACTCTCTTACACATACTCTCAAACACATAAATAAATGTGGTCTTGGATGTAAAGTTAGCTACAAAAAGAAAAAGTTCCTGTCCTTCAAGTCGAATTTAAACCACTCCAGGGCTTTACCCTAGAGGACAACCCAGTTTTCCAGGCACTCTGGTCAAATGGAGTGATCAACAGGCTGCACTACGGTTCAATAATTTTAACCCTGTGGTTCTTCCTCTGGCTGCATTTATATAGATCAAATTGAACTCTTTGACAAGAAAACCCTACGAGCTGCCACCTTAACATGGTGGGGTTGTTTGAGTGCCTGAATGATCCTAGGAGCTGTGTTGTCTGGGGCATTATACCCAGTGGTAGGGTCTCCCACCGCAAACAGGTCCTAGGTGACTAAGAGCAACTCAGAAGATCATTATAGAGAGAGTTAATTCAAGGACTGTGATGTTGCATTTCATGGCGCAGCCAGGGCCCCACCGTGGAGCCAGGCCTGGGGTTGGGGCTCGCATGTGGGCACCTGGTGGCAGGGCCTTTGCTTATGGGGCCCGGCCGGGCCCAGCCCGAACAAATTATGTGGGCCCACCTTCCTGTGGACCCACCAACCGCAGACAGATCCATAGCTGTCGGGTGCATAGAGAATTGGGTGGCGGTCAAGGTAGGGTCCCTTTACGACCCGGTCAGCGCACAAAGCTTCTGGCTTTAGGGATGTGCAACATCATCTTGCTGGGGGGGAAGGAATCTGAGCTTGTGCAGGATGTTGAGAGTTACCTACTAGATATATTCGGCTCACCTCCACACACAGCTTGGGTTTAGGATCTCATCTCCTTAAAAGAGGCTGGACACTCCACTTCTCTGGCGTTGTTCGCTGGGAGAGGAAGCGGGCCATGGTGGCCTTGATCATTGCCCCCCAGCTCAGTTGTCACATGTTGGAATTTATCCCAGTGGCCGAGAGGGTCATGTCCATACGCCTTTGGGCTGGGGACAGGTCTCTCAGCCAACGGGCGCAACATTAGTGTACAGTACCCGGCCTTCCTGGAGTCCCCGGGAGTGGTACTAGATGGTGCTCCAACTGGGACCACCATTGTTCTACTGGGGAATTCAATGCCCACATGGGTAGCGATAGTAAGACCTGGACAGGGGTAATTGGGAGGAACGGCCTCCCGGATCTAAACCTGAGCTAATCACAGTTTTTCCATAACAGACACCATATTCCAGCACAAGGGTGTCCATAAGTACATGTGGCACTATGACACTCTAGGCCAGAGGTTGATGATCTCCTTTGTAGTTTTTTCATCTAATCTCTGGTCATGTGTCTCAGAGTCTTGGGTGAAGAGAGGGGCTGAGCTATCAACTGATCACCGCCTGGTGGCGAGCTGGATCCTCTGGCAGGGGAAGAAGCCGGTCAGACCTGGCAGGCCTAAGTGTTTTGTGAGGGTCAGCAGGCACGTTTGCTTTGGCGGCAGTAAGTCAGATGTTGATCTCCACTAGGGTTGCCCTTTGTTACCGGTTCTGTTCATTTATGGACAGAATTTCTAGGCGCAACCAGGGACCGGAGGGTGTCCGGTTTGGTAACCTCAGGATATCATCTCTATTGTTTGCAGAGGATGTTATCCTGTTGGCCTCATCAAACCAGGACCTTCAGCATGCACTGGGAAGTTTTGCTTGGGCATCAATTCCGCATGCCTCCTGGTCGCCTCTCTTGGAAGGTGTTCCAGGACATGCCTGGAACAAATCCCAAGGCTCCCAACGCTTGCAGTACTATGTGTCTGAGCTAACCTGTCACCTTGGGGTCCCCCCCCAGAACAGCTGGAGGAGGTGTGTGTTGATCGGTAAGTCTGGGCATCACTGCTTAGACTGCTGCCTCCGCCTCTGGCGCAGGATAAAGCAGTAGAAAATGGATGGATGGATGGATGGATGGATGGATGGATGGATAAGAAAAGTTTCTGTACTGTAGTGAACAAGGAAGCCTGACTGAGGGACGTTGAAATTAACAAAGCTTTTCAGTAATCTTATTGAGGTAAAATAAGGTTTGAGGTTAGTTTGCAGAAACAGAAACTTGTGGAAGTTGCTGTTTTTAGGGTCAGGAGGAAACCTTACAAAAGCAACATGTCTATAAAACATGGAGAAAAGCATGAAGAAGAGCTAAGTTGGTGTATGATTTATTATAAGCTTTTGTAGGTTCTTTGGCAGAACCAGGACATTTAGTTAAAATACCTTCTAGTTGGAGACAACTTGGTGCTGGACATGAAATGGACATATAGATGGCCCCTCTACTCTTTTGTTTTTTAGTTAAGAAGTTAGCTAAGTCGTTGCAGGCCCAGGTAGTGTGATTTAAGAAGTATGCATATTTGCAATGTACTGTATGAGTTATGCATATACATATTAATTTAAAAGTAATAGTAATATGAATCAATAAAATCCCTGTCATCTTTTTCAGCTTGAGCTCTGCACAAGTCAGCAAACCATTTCTCTGTCAGGACAAGATAATCAGCACCATACAGGCACAGGAATTTAAGGCCTATGCATCAGTATAAACAGCAGGACGATTATACGACCTGAATTAAACTATAGGTTAGGCATCTGAAAGGCAGCCAACAGATCAAGATGCTGGGCAGGGAATTGAGTCTCCACTATGTAATTAAGGTAATGGCTCTAAACCCAGTGGAGTGTATGGATCTGAGCTGATCCAAGCCAAAGTGTTAAGAGGCTGAGATGGAGGTTAAGACTGTAGGAGAAATATCACACAGTATACTCAAGTAGACACTGTGTAGCTTTGGACAAGTCTGGAGCCAAATGATAAAGGGAAATTTACTAAACCAAAAGAGCTTAACAATCTTAATTTAAAAATGTAATGGCTTTGTTGGCTTCTTTGTGTAAATGTTAGCTTTTTATTGCCTATATTGAATAAATGTATCCTATTTGAATAGATTTAGAGCAGGCAACTTCATTTTAGTAAATCCATTAAATCATATTGCAATTAAAGTGTTAAAGATATGAAAGAGATTCTGTTTTTAAGCAAATAGGTATACAAAAACACTTGCAGTATGATAATGCAGAGTGACAACAGAACAAACTGAAATTATTTGAACCAAATCACTTACAACCATTAATATATGTAGGCTAGGTAACAGGAAGAGTCTGTATTCCCAGTTAGCATAGAAACCCAAATTTTCTGAAAGATTGCTCCTCCTTCAAATGAGAAATTGTTGCATATTCCACAGATATGTCAAAGATTATACTGGAAACACTTCAGACCATTTAGGAATGGAGGTTATGCTATTTCATGCTAAAGTTTATGCATACTAAATGCCTAAATCTATTTCAACTGTATGTGCTTTTCTCAAAATATGACTGATAAAAATCTTTTATAATGGCAAAAAAGACTTTTTATTTTAGAAAACTCAGTAAATAGTTTGATATTTTCATTTTCATTCAAAATGAATGAAAAGCTTGAATGATAGGAAGCATTGTTTGTAGGCCCTGCCTCATATCAGGCAATAACAACGTCTGATAATTTAAGTGAACTTTTTTTTTTTTTTTAAGATTTTAGTATTTTATCTAAAAAAAAATTTAAATGCTCCTCTTTTAGTGGACTTATTTTGTCCTGTGCAATATAATTGGGGAAAAAAATCAGTGATTCCTTTATATCCAAGATAATGTTTGAAATTTTCATTTTTAAGTAAGCAATACAAACTAGGACAACATCCAAAACAGAATGACTGCTTCCACACAACTTTGAAATGTCATTCTGACCTTTATTTTCTTGCTTGGGACTAAAGCTTTACTCATAAAAGATTAAAGCTCCTGGAACAATGTTTCATGCTGTTCTGGCAAACCCATTTATATACTGTATTACATGTGACGTGCACAAAAAGTCAACAGATTCAGTGGCTTTAAAACAAATCCACATAAAAGTACCACTTCCTACTTCTGCTGTCTATAAATGTACATTTGAGATTTGAAGCTATATCCGCCTCATCATTTTTCATCCAGCTGAAAGCTTTCACACATTCATCAATGTCTAAGAGGAAAACGATTAAGATGTGGAAGGGGGAGCTGTTGAGACTTGGCCTCTCTGGAGGCATCTCTGGTACATTTGGTTTTCAGATTCTCAGCTAGAATTTCCCTTCCCAACAAAATCCATACACATGTCTCCCTTTTTATGACCAAGCAACTCTTTCTAAAACTGTTATAATAACATGTTAGAGGTTTAGAAAACATTCTAACTCCAAACCTTAAGCTTAAATTGAAGATTTCAAATTAGTTTATTAATTATTTCACATTATTTCATCTGTCAAAACACTAAAATGTAGAAGTGAATTAGTTACTTTCCATTTGTAGGATGAACAAAGATAAACTGATTTAGACTGACATGTTTTCTCCAGACTGAATACATTTTAATTAAAATATGTGACTGAATACTAAACAAAAGCAGCATCTAATTTCTATGATGCATTTAAAACTACAAAAAAAAACTATGCATCAAAGCTAATAAAGAAACTAATGTATGCTTAAGCTT